TGCTGGTTGACAGGCGGCTGAATATGAGCCAGCAGCGTGCCCAGGTGGCCAAGGTGGCCAACAGCATCCTGGCTTGTATCACAAATAGTGTGGCCAGCAGGAGTAGGGATTGTCCCCCTGTCCTGGGCACGGGCGAGGCTGCACCTCGAATGCTGTGTTCAGTTCTGGGCCCCTCAGTACAAGGACATTGGGGAGCTGGAGCCTATCCAAAGAAGGGTACTGAGGCTGGTGAACGGTCTAGAGCAGAAGTTGTATGAGAAGCAGCTGAGGGAACTGGCGTGGTTCAGTGTGGAGAAAAGGAGGCTGACAGGAGACCTTATCACTCTCTACTACTACCAGAAAGGAGGTTGTAGCCAGGGGGGTGTCTGTCTCTTTTCCCAAGTAAGAAGTGATAGGACGAGAGGAAACATCCTAAAGTTGTGTCAGGGGTTTTGGTGTTGGTGTTGTGTTAGATTGGATATTAGAAAAAATTTCTTCACTGAAAGGGTTATCAAGGACTGGGACAGGCTGCCCAGGGAAGTGGTTCAGTCCCCATCCCGGGAGGTATTAAGAAGACATGTAGATGTGGTGCTTAGGGACATGGTTTAGGGGTAGACTTGACAGTGTTAGATGTACAGTTGGAGTTGATGATGTTAAAGGTCTTTTCCAACCTAAATGATTCCGTGATATATCCTCCTGATCAAACAGTAAAACTCCTGCACAGTTGTACACTTGGTGGGATGAATCACAATCCTGGACTGCTATTACTCGATGACTATAAACAGTTCAGAAGGGATGGGCAAGGAAGGAGAGATGGGCCGGGGGTTGCCCTCTGTAAGAAAATGGACCGATTGCACAGAGCTGTCTTTGAAAAACAGTGACGAATAGTTGAGAGCTTATGGGTAAAAATTAGAGTCCAAGCAAAGAAAGGAAATCTCATGGCTGGCATTTATTACAGGCCACCTGAACAAGGTGAGCATGTTGATGAAGCTTTCTCACTCCAACTACAGGAAGCGTCACAGTCGCACGCTCTGATCCTGCTGGGGGACTTCAGTCAACCTGACATCTGCTGGAAAAGTGGCACAGCAAGCTGTGAGCAGTACAGGAGACACCTGGAACGTATTGAGCATCAATTTTCAATCCAGGGAAAAGACAGTCCAACCAGAGAAGCACTACTCGACCTTGCTCTCCAACACAAATAAACTAATTGGAGACATCAAGATTGGTGCCTAGGCCCAGGCCCATCACAAACTTGAAGGATATGGGCCAGGCAAAAAGTAAAATCAAGACCTTGAGTTTTAGCAGAGTGGACTTTCAGATATTTAAGAAAGTAGGGATGGACCTCCCTGGGAAACTGCCCTCAGGGATAAAGGAGCAGAATAGAGCTGGCAGCTTTTTAAGGACATATTTCTTAGAGAACAAGTTCTCTCAATTCCCACATGTAAGAAATCAGACAAGGAAGGCAGGAGACCAGCATGGCTGAGTAAGGACATTTTGGTTGAACTGAAGTGTAAGACGGAAATGCATAGGCAGTGGAAGCAGGGACACACATCCTGGAAACAATATAGGGATGCTGTCCAGTTGTGTAGGATGGGATCAGGAAAGCTAAGGCACATCTGGATCTGAATTTGGCAAAGGATATGAAGAATAAGAAGGGCTTCTGCAGGTATGCTGATCAGAAAAGAAGACTAAAGAAAATGCACTGTCCAATAAGTAAGACAGAAGAACTAGTGACAACCAACATGGAGAAGGCTGAGGTACTCAAAAATATTTTTGCCTCAGTTTTCACTGGCAATTTCTCTTTCTGCATCTCTCAAGTCCTTGAACCTCAAGGCAGGGACTGGGCAACAAAGTCCCTCCCATCACAGGAGAAGATCAGGTTTGACACCATCTGAGGAACCTGAATATACACAAGCCTATGGGACTCGGCAAGATGCATCCCAGGGTCCTGAGGGAACTGGCAGATGTAGTTGCTAAGCCATTCTCTATCACATTTGAAAAGTCATGGCAGTCAGGTGAAATCCCCAGTGACTGGAGAAAAAGGAATATCGTAGCCATTTTTTTTTGAAGGATAAAAAGGAGGGCCCTGGGAGCTACTGACCAGTCCGGTTTACCTTGATGCCTGGTAAGATCCTGAAACAGATCCTCCTGGAAGCTATGTCGAGGCATATGGAAGACAGGGAGGTGATTGAGGGGAGGTATGAACTTGATGGGTGGACTATTAGATGGGTAAGGAATCGTCTGGGTTGCTGCATCCAAAGAGTTACATCTCAATGTGCAAGTGGAAACTAGCAATGAGTGGTGTCCCTCAAGGGTCCATACTGGGACCAGTACTGTTTAATATCTTCATCAAGGACATAGGTAGTGGGATTGAGCATACCCTCAGCAAGTTTGGAGATGATACCAAGCTGAGTGGTGCAGTTGATACATTAGCGGGAAGGGGTGCCATCCAGAGGGACCTTGAAATGCTTGAAGAGTGGGCCCATGTGAACCTCATGAAGTTCAACAAGGCCGAGTGCAAAGTCCCGCACCTGAGTTGGGGCTATCCCCAATATCAGTACAGACTGGGGGATGAATTAATTAAGAACAGTGCTGCAGAGAAGGACCTGGGGATACTGGTAGATGAAAAATTGCACATGAGCTGGCAGTGTGCGCTTGCAGCCCAGAAAGCCAATCCTATCCTGGGCTGCATAAAAAGAAGTGTGGCCCAGAGCTGAGGGAGGTGATTCTGCTCTCTCTCATGACCCCACCTGGAGTATTGCATCCAGCTCTGGGTCCCCAGCACCAGGAAGACACAGACTTGTTAGAGCGGGTCCAGAGGAAAATGATCAGAGGGCTGGAGCACCTCTCCTACGAAGTAAGACAGAGAGAGTAGGGATTGTTCAGCCTGGAGAAGAGAAGGGTTTGAGGAGACCCTACTGTGACCTTTCAAAATATAAAGGGGGCTTATAAGAAAGATGGAGATTTTTCACCAATGCCTGTAGTGACAGGACAAGAGGCAACAGTTTAAACTGAAAGAGGATAGAATTAGATTGGACATATGGAAGAAACTTTTTATGATGAGGGTGGTGGGACAGTGGAACAGGTTGCCCAGAGAAGTTGTGGATGCCCCATCCCTGGAAGTGTTCAAGGTCAGGTTGTATGGGGCTGTGAGCAACCTGCTCTAGTGAAACATGTCCCTACTCATGGCAGGGATGCTGGACTAGATAATATTTGCATGTCCCTTCCAACCCCAACCATTCTATGATTCCATGATTCTATAGTCACTTGGGCTCAAAAGAAGGACCTTCATGAAAGCATTTATCCAACACCAGAGTAGGAGAAGAATGAGTCCTTGTATTTCTACCTGAAGTTCTGAAAAATTCTGTCACATCCAAATAGCACAGTCCAGTGTCAGCACTACATTCTACCTTTCCAAAAATCTTTTTTATTTTAATCAATGTTCTGTTTGCTTGACTATTATTTTCAGGGAAAAATAGGAAGCAGAAGTAATTCTGTCTTTTGCTGAATACATAATTTTATAAAGCTTCATATCAGAAAAAAAAAGGGTTATGATAATATTTGAAATAAGCAATGATTTTTTTTTAAATAAGGTTGCCCATTACATTAAAGGAACTAAAAGGCACTTACAAAAGTATTTCTTCCTCCCTCTCTTCCACCTGATAACATCTGCAAGACCTTTTTGCATTTTGTCTTTTGCCGAGTCTAAAAGTAACTGCCTATGAATGTAAAAATACCAAAATTAAAAAGTCCAGATATGTGGTTAAAATATTGGTGTACCAGAAAAAAGAGGCTTTAGGAGAGCATAGGGACTGCTCCAGGATTGTGCTGCTACATCAGGTGTTTAGAGGAAGGCTAGAGGCCTAGCCTAAACCTAGGAAAATGCATTTGCACAGGATCAAAATAATTTAGAGGTAAAGCTACCAGTGGACCGACTGTGATAGGAGTGAATAGAAGGGATTAAGATACAGAATTTGAAAGAAATATATATGCTGCCGAACTAACCCCCAGAAATGTTCCCTCAATCGTGTTTGTCATTCCCAACAGGTTAACTTCTGTGACAGTGTAATTCACAATTCATAGTGGAGTCAACACAGCAGGTGAAACCACCACGAAATACAGCATCAGTACAGATGTTGGCTCCAAATCCACATGATTTTCTGTTTTTATACTCTTGCACATGATGTTATTCCGCTGTTTGTCTTCTCTAGACAAAAGCCCCTCTGAAATGCTACCAGAACTCTTGGCAGTTTCTCACAATTTATGTGCTCTCTAGTCATGGTAAACCAGCACCACTGACAAGCTTTTAAAACTGACAACCCCCCCATCATCAAAACTCCACACGGCAGTGTGTGATAGCACATTATTGAAAGAAAAAGTGAAAGAAGCCAAATGACTGCATTTTCAATCACATGAAATAATCACCAGGGTGTCCTATTCTTCCCCACATTGCACTATATATTTTTGAACATGACATTCCTCTATGCAACTCATCCCAAGAAAAAATCATTTGATATATATTCAGTTTATCCCACACCACAAAACTCATGGGTTAGAAAAAGCTATGCCCTAGTTTATCTCGGCAGTTCTGAGGAGATAATTGTTTGATTAAACCACTTGATTTATATTATTTTATTAAAAAAAATGCCCAGAGCCTTACCTCTGCTTTTCATAAGCAAAACATGCACACTATATTCTGATTTTTTTTTTTTTGCACAATTGCTGATTCTAGATGACAAAATGGCCGAAATACAGGGTAAAAGTAAGCACAAAAATAAACCCTACCTTAAAATAAGAACACATAATTGAATGTGCCTACCTATTGCGCTTAATCAAAAGAAGTATTTTGGAGAAACAAATGGGAATATAGTTCATCAAACTATTAATACAAGGACGGAGGAAGCTGAGGGGAACAGTGAAACAACCTCAATCTTTCTTAGGAGTTTTTGAAGGTACCTGCTGATTTAAAAGAACTGTTTTTCACATTAACGTTTCTGGTGAAAACCGCCTTTCTTTTACTTTTTGTTAGCTCCGAGTAGAGCTACCCAGGGCACTATGTCCAAAGGTTTCATTATTTTTAAGAGATGAAGCCGCGTTACGGGAAACAACTCATAACCCAGATAGAGAGCAGAGTGGCTACTTTGTGTTACTTGCTTCTTTTCAAAGCTGATTTACGCTAAGAAGATGTCTCGAGATTACCTCCATTTTGCACTACATTGATGAAAAAACGTCTCAGGAACATGAAGCCGGTGCCACCGTGGCAGTGCTGCCAGAAAGTTAGTTTTAATTCAAAAGGAAAAATAAAAATCTCACCGTCCAGCTCTGCGTGCAATCCCCAAACGCGGGGATTATCGGCTTCCCTGAGAGGCATCTTAACTCTCAGCGAAAAGGAACGACGAAAGACAGAAATATCTTCTGTCCCCAGCTACCCTGCGAAGAAACGGGGTGCCGCGGTCACCGTTTTTTTACGAAAAACTCACTTTTTTGAGGAGGAAGAAACACAAGCCGGGCGGCAGAGCG